TGTGGACGGATCCCCGGCGCGGCCCAGCTGAGCATCGAGTGGTGCTTCCCGCTGAGCGGCGACGGCGAGGCGCCACAGGCCTTCGGGGAACCACGAAGCCTTGCATCAGCGGCGCTACGGGCAGAGCTCCATTTTTGTGGGGGGTTCTGCTGTCGGCGCGCGCGCGTAAGTGTGTGTGTGTGTGCGTGTGCATGTGTGTGGTCTGTCGCTTGGACTTACAGCTCTTCTAACACACCCACCGCTTGCATGTTGCAGTGTGCGACCCTGTAACCGCTACATTATCGACAATGCTCGGTCGCAATTGGCCTTTCATCTGCTGCCAGCGCCTGATGCTCCTCCTGCGTCGCAGACTTAAAAAGTGTGTGTGTGCGCCTTTGTGTGTGTGTGAGTGTGTGTGTGTGTTTTTTCGGGGGGAGGGGGCTTGCCTGTTTCGGCCAGATCCCGGGCCACGTGCGAAATACATACGGCCAGGAACGTTGTATTAGCGTGTCGTGCCGTCGGTTCTGGCCTACCACGCTTCGGCGCGACACGCTGTCCACGCCGCGGCTTGCAGGTGTCACGATTTCCCGAGCCTCCCACCGCGCGGAGCGGAGCGACACGCTGTCCTCTCGCAAGGCCTAGCGTGTCGCCGGTGCCGCCGCCGCGACATTCGACACAGAAGAGCTCCTTACCGCAAGGTGGACGGAAGCCCCACACTTGGCAGGCGCTACCCAAAGCCCCCTGCCTGACGGTCCGTGGGTCCCCCTGTCCGTCCCATTTTGGCCTCTTTGGCTCCAGTCGGTGCTTTTGGTTCAGTTCCCATTTCGTCTTCGCCATATTTGGGTTTGGGGGGGGCAGGTCTTTGGATTGCCAATGCTGCCCTCAAAAGCCAGCCGATGGGGAGGGGGAACTCCGAGGTCTGAGGATTGATGGTCAATGAAAACTGTGGGGGAGTGATAGATTTGGAGTGACGGGATGAGTGAGGAATGGCGATGTGGGGGAGTGATGAGGAGGCGGCGGCGGAGGGCTTAAAAGGAGTAGCAGGATGAGTGTGGTGAAGCAAGTGGATAAGCTAGAAAGGACGATGGGGCGAAAGCTAGAAGTAGGGCCGCACCCCACCCCCAGCCTCGCGAACAGGTGGCGAGCTGCGAGGTGCAGATCGCAGGGGCGATCAGCTGGAGCCCCAGGGCGCCAGAAACTGCTGTTGTTTGCTTGTGCGTGCCAGTGTGTGTGTGTGTGTGTGTGGTTGTGTGTGGTTGTGTGTGTGTGCGCGTGCGTGTGCGTGTGTGCGTGTGTGCGTGTGTGCGTGTGTGCGTGTGTGCGTGTGTGCGTGTGCGTGTGCGTGTGCGTGTGCGTGTGTGTGTGCGTGTGTGTGTGTGTGTGTGTGTGTGTTTGTGTGCGTGTGTTTGTGTGTGTGCGTGTGTGTGCGTGTGCGTTCTCACGCGCCAGCTTGCTACTCGTTCGGTGTTTCGGCATTGGCTGGCGAACCAGACGCCCGGGATCTCTGCGAGCACGGAGTTCCGCGACTTGGGTGTGGCCGCCACCGCTGGGAAGGCCCGTCGGTGCGCTGTCACCGCGGACCGGCTGCGTGTCGCGCGGGGCCGTTTCAGGCTCGGCAAGTTGCCCGTCGGCTTTGACGTGCGTTGCCGGCTGGGCGCTGCCGCAGGGACGGCGGCTGGCCTGTATACGGCGCGGCTTGCGGCCGGCCCCCGGCGTTAGAGTTGGGCGGCCTCCGCGCGGCGGCGCGACAAGCGATGTGCCGCGGTGGCATGCGTGCGGCCGCTGAGGTCGTTTTCGGGGTGGCGCCGAGCTGGCGACTGGACCCGGCGGCGGTCGTAGTCATGGCGCCGCTCCGGCATGCCGCCAAGGCGCTTCGATCCCGCCGTCTTCCCGTGCAGATGTGGCGGGGCGCCACGGCGGCCATGGACGAAGGTCACGGGCGCGGGTTCGGGCCCATTTCCGCCGCCCGCCGGAGCTTGGCGGAGCTGCACCTGGGCGCAGACGTCGAGTGCTGGACCAGGGTGAGCGCCGCCCCCGTGGGCTGGCGCCCCGCCGACCGGAGTCTGTTCGACACCCGAGCAGTGCTGTTTGAAGCGTGGTCCAAGCGCGAAGCGCGTTCGCTGGCGAAGAGGCGCGCGGCCTTCCAGCACGTCGCGGGGGCCACGCGGCGGCTGCTGGTCAGCGGCGCGCTTGCGCCCGATGCTGCCGTGGCGCTCCGCGCCGTGCTCTCCTGCAGGGAACGTGGTGACCGAGACAGTGGCCGCGAAGTGGGGTCAGCTGGCGCTGTGCTCAGACTGCCGCGTGGCGCCGGAGGACCTGGAGCACCGCCTGTGGTAGCGCCCGTGCTGGGAGACCACCCCGGCCGCCGCCATATGGCTCGCGAGCAGGGGCCGCGACGAGGTCCGCGCGCGCGAGGCTGCCGCCTGAGACCTCCCTCACGGGGAAGGTTCCTCAGGACTTACGGCTGGCGGCGCTCGCGGAGCAGGCCCGGCTGCCGCTGCCGCTGCCAATTCTGCCCGACCCGCAGGGTCCGCCGGCCGGCGGCAGGGCGCGCGCCTGGACGGACGGTCCTTGCGCGGGCCCGGGCGACCCGCTGCTTGCGAGAGCGGAATGGGGAGTCCGGCTGGAGGCGGCGGGTTCGAGTTTCGTCGAGCACAGCGGGCCGGTGGACGGCGGGCAGAATACCCAGCGGGCGGAACTCATCGCGGCGGTGCGCGCGCTGAGCCTGGCCGGGTGGCCAGTCGACGTCGTCACCGACTCCCGGTTCATCAGCCGCGGCGTGGCGGCCATCCGCGGCGCCGCCAACCATGGGCGCACGCGGATATGTGGGAACGCGTCGCCCCACACTGCCGCAGCAGCGCCCTGCGCGCGCGTTGGTTGAAGGCGCACTTCGACGCTTCCGCGGCCCGCGAGCGGGGGGTCTCCCTGGAGGACCATGCTGGCAACGCGGCCGCGGATCGCCCGGCTGGCCACGCGGCGGGGGCCCGCTTGCTGGCTCGCGCGGTGCTGGAGCGCGCGCGGGGGCTGGACGCGCTCGCTGCCGTGCAGCGGGTCATGGCAGCCGTGGAGTTGGCCGTGCTGAAGGCCACGGCGCGACGGCGCCAGCCGGCCCCGCGTGCGCCGGCGCTGGGCGGCCCCAGGGCGCAGGCGGCGCGCGCCCCGCGTGGGCGACGACGCGGCAGTGGCGGCCGCCGCGGCCGCCCGCGCGCGGGCTCCACAGCCTGCCCGGCGCCCCGCGGCGACGGCGGGGGTAGCCGCCGCCAGCGCCCTCTTCGCCGGCAATGCGTGGCGGGCCCACGTGGCGTCCCAGGGGCCCGCTTGCGGCTGGTGGGCGTCGGCCTGGCACCGGCTGGCGAGCCGTGCAGCGGCTGGGCTCCGGAGCTGCCGACGCGCGCCGCCGCCCTGCTGCTTGCGCCGCTGGCCGGGGCGGGTGGCGCGGAAACCGCGTGGCGTGAGGTGCTGCGGCTTCGGCTCGCGGCGCGCCAGGGAGCGCCATATCAATTTGTTGCAAGCTCCCCCTTTCCCCCTTCCCCCTCCCTTCGCCCCCCCTCCTTCTCCCCCCCTTTGCCACGGGGCGTTCCGATGATGGTAAAAAAGTGCGTTCCCACGCTTCTGTGTTGTGCTTGTTCGTCTCTCTCTCTCTCTCTCTTTCTCTCTCTCTCTCTCTCTATCTCTCTCTCTCTTTTGTTTTTCTCTCTCTCTCTCTTTTTCTCTAATATGTTTGTATATATATATATATAGATGTATATCGTTAGCCTCGCTATCTTCGTTGTATTGCTTTTGGTTTGTCGCGTTGTTTGTTTGTTTCCCCCTCTCTCTGCCACGCTGTATATATACGCACGTAGGTAAATGCATCTATACACGGGCGCAGCTGCAACGTATATGCATGTATATATATGGATAGAATAGATGCATCGACAGGAGTACGCGCGCATGTAATGTGTGTGATGTCATTTTTGGCGACCTTCAATGAAACCAGATATACATATATATATATACATAAAGAGAGCGAGAATGATGTACAGAGAGAGGGGGACGTATACACAATCCATATACTTACAAATTGCCATAATTGTATACGCATATGTGTGTATACATGTTGATCGTGGTATGGTGAATATGTTGCGTTGTGTGTGTGGGGGGAGGGAGATAGAGAGGGAACGGACATGATACATCGAACGCAACAAAACGAACAACACATGAGAACTTGGCCGAGACGGGCCGAGAGAGGCACAGGCATATAGAGAGCGACACAGAGAGATAATCATTCCATATATAAATATATGGCATTACGCATATCTGTGTATATACATATATGTTGAAGGAGAGAGGGGGGAGAGGGATAGAGAGAGGCACAGAGAGATAGAGAGAGCAAGAGCACCAGCAACAAAGAGCGAGCGAGAGAGATGATAACGAGGGATACGGGGAAGAGGACGCGGGATGCACATGGATGTGTTGACCGGGAGAAGTGCGTATGCAGCATACACGCCTACAGGTACAGAGAAAGAAGGCAGGAAGCAGGGGAGGGGAGGGATAAAGGGAAAGCAAGGAGGGAGGGAGGCGAGGGACACCCAGCGGGGGAGGAGGAGAGCGGCCCCTCGCCTCCCAGGAGCGCCGCGGCGCTCGGCGCGGAGCCCGCGGCGGACCCGCGGAGCGGCCGCTGGGGCGCCACGCTGCTGGGCCTCGCGGGCGGGACCGCCTACGGCGTGCGCGTGCGCGGACACGGCGCGGGGGGCGAAGGCCCCCCCCCCTCGGGGCGGGCGGCCTCGTCCGCCGAAGAGGACAAAGCCCATCGTCGTCGTCGTCGTCGTCATTGTCGTCGTCGTCGTCGTCGTGGGGGGCGCGGGGGTGGTCTGGGTTGCAGGAGGCGGCTCGCCGAAGGGTGAAATCTGAAATGCTGTTTCGATTGATCTCCGAGGTTTGAATCTGCAAAGGGTGAATCAAAAGACGGGTTGATGCTCGTTGTGCAAAAGCCCATGTGGATTTCACCCTGGGCCCTCCACCATGAGAAAATGCGCAGA